TAATCGCTTAAGTATTGTCGATATCAGTAAATAAAATCTGACTTTGAAACATTTTATTTACTGACATTGACAATATTTAATGATTAAAATTCTTAGTACATTAATTATTATTATTATTATACTTACTATTTATTAACTATTTGTTAGATATAATGATTAAAATAATACTACTCGTAAATAAAATAGTAATTTTCGTGTCGCCTTTATAGTTGCATAGTTCCCAATTTGCACAGGGCAAACTCAAGCCAGTCCGTGATACTTTTTTATTCGTTTTATTTTTGTTTGCGTTGTTGTAAAACCTTATTTACGTGAAAAAGAATGAACAGAGGGAGTTAATGTTGTAGTTTACGTTGCGAGAAAAAATCAGGCAGTTGGAATTACTTTCGTGAAGCGTGGGTGTGTTTCTGGCCGAGAAGGAAATTCCTTGTATAATTTTTTGTTCTGGTTTCGGACGATTCTGTGATTACAGGTATATTATTTGTGCTTCGAAAATAAATAAAAGTATGAAAATATACGTCAGTGATTATTAATTTAAATTACAGTAGATGAGACAGATTAACTTTTAATTTATTATACAGAATGGCATAAGCGTCATTTTCATTCATAGGGAAGTAAATGAACTCTTATTTTCTTTGTGCTCGAGTTTAATGAGAAAACTGAACAGAGAGAAACCCAAAGAACAGTTGTTTTATAGATCTTGTTGGGAAGGCTACAATGAAAATGCAGTGTAGAAAATGCCGCAAAATGGATCTAGAAGTAGTTTTTGTTGCCTTTGGTAGCTCTGGTCATGCCAGAATGTTATAAATGAACTTGCCATAAACGTGCAAGGGATTCTGATAATATTATAATTTGCAAAGTAAAAGAAAGAGTTTGTTATATCAGTTAATACACATGAAAGGATATTCGAATTTTGATAGTGTACTTGGAATGACTGTAAGAAGTAAGTTAAATAAACTGGGTTTAAGAATTGTATCGTGAAAAAGAGAATTCTGTTAATTTCAAAAATCACGAAAAATATTTAGCGTTTTTAAATAATTTGTAAACAAGCTATTACTGTTTTGGAAAGATGACATAGTGAAGTTTTGATTTTTGTATGTATCTTTCCAGTTTCTATATAATAAATTTTTTAATAAACGACTAAATATTATCAAAAGTCGTGCAGTATATGTATATATCTGTACATATTGCATTAATTAATATTATATTTTTATTATTATATTGTATTCATTGTATTATACATAATATATAACATATATTATTCTCTCCATTTTTGTTACTTCATCAGTACAGTCCAATTATGCGGCGTATTTGATTATTCAGCATTTTCTTGGTTCTGAGAATGTTGGATAATAGGAATTATACTGTATTACGTTTGATACTTTAAAATTCGAATTAATGAACAGAAAAGATGGAAATACTGTACGGTGAAAATTATTAGATTGCCTCAACGAGGAAAATATTTAATCAATTTTTAAATACAATAGCAGGTGGTGAATGCTTTGAAGCTATTTCTTCAGGGTAAATTTTTTACTCACTTCATAGGTTAAAAAAAATGCTTGCTAGGCAATTCAGAAACAAATTATTATCTACCATTTTTAAAAGCCGATATGTAATTTGAAAAATCAAAATTTGAATTAATGGACAATGAAAAGAGAAAAATATTGAATCAACTTTTAAACACAGTGAAAGCTAAGTAATATTTTACGGCTACTTCCAAAAAATACGTTGAAAATTTGGTTAATATTGGTGGAAAATTGATTATACTGTTTTCATATAACATAGTTATTATTTATTACTCTTATATATTATAGTTGGAACTGTAATATAGATTATAAGATTGGATTATTCTTTTCGATTCTTTAGTCTTTAAACACATGCTGGACCAACATCTACAAAAACCCCAGAAACTCGAAACAATTTATTAAATGAAATAGGAAGTAAAAAACTGAAGATTTACCATAATAATTATTCAGGTAATTTTCATGCGTTTTCACGAATTTTCCGAATGAAGATAATAGCAATGAATTTTTAAGATCGAGCAAAAAATTATATTGTCAGCAATAAATAAGTGTTACTAACATTATAGACGTTAAAGTTTAACCTAGTTAAACTTTCTTTTACTTTCTACTGCGGATATGATGTCCGAAAAAACGAGATCTTACAATAAAAATACATTTCCCGCTACGAATTATTGGTTTTATGCAAGAAATAATATTTCACAGGTTGTACGGTACGCTCGTGCTAAAAAATGTTAAAATTCTAATGAAGGATAAGCTTCATACGTATCTGTTATCGCTAATTGGAATCACTTAACATAATTTTATCCATAAAAGAAATCGTGGAAGAAAGCATAGGATTAAGGAGTATCGTTGGAGGAGAAATTACCTTGTGGAGGGAAAGGTTCGCGACAACGCAAGCGAGCACCGCTTCTCTGCCCATTGGGACCGTCACGTTCGTTATTGGCACAGTAAAGCTCGGTCCCTCTGAAACACAAGAGCAGCGATATCTTCTAAATAGTTCGGTATAACATGTGTTCATTAGACCCGTATATCTCACCCGTTTTTTCCTCAACGGTAAATTCGATTCCTTTCCTTACAATAAAATTTCCATTTTTCTTTTAGGTGCACGTAAGCACCCACAAGGGAATTTCGGTAAAGAAAATTCCGATCTTTTTTTCGGAGAACGCGGATCCTTAGGGGACTGCTGCAGAAGCATCGGAGGTAATTTTTTGCTTCTACAGTTTATTGATTTTGTAAAGTCACATAAACTTTGTTAAAATAATAATGTCTGTCCATCATAATAATAATGGTAGAAATTTTTATAATGGAGGAAACTTAAGGTTCGTTCGAGACATTTAAAATTATAAATGTTTTTTAGGAATTTTCTTTGTATTATTAACCGCTCAACTTATAATAACCTGTGAGACTCGTGGTGAACATTTTAAATAGGATTTAACAAACATAAATGTTACTCAATTCTTTTGAATTTGAATGAAATATTATTCTTTTACTATTAATTGTTATATAGGGCAAACGTAAACATAGAATACGCACAGAACTTATCATTTTTTTCAATATATTATTACTGACGAAACTGCTGTATCGGCCACAATTGAAAAATAAATCATAAAGCAAGATGTTAATTTACATTAATACTATAAGTAGCGTACTCGTCACAATGGTGAGTTTTAGTTTTCTTATTTTACAACTGTTGATACTTTAGAACTGTTCAATATCTAAAATGCCTTTGAAAATAAATAGTTTTACTTAAATACTATAACAAATATCAGATGAAATCAAAAACAAACATATTGTTACAATATTTATGAGAATTACATATTAACCCTAATAAATACTCGGTAGCTTCTGTGTTAATGACCTTAACATTAAGATTACAGATAAGGCAAGTTATCTGGTACTGTATTTTCTCACATAAATTATAAGAGATCAATTATTGATTTATATTTTACTACACACGCGAGTTAATAAATTTTTTGAAATACTGTTTCAATAACTGTAGGAGAAATATCTGAAATGCTTAATGCTTGAAAACCACTAATGTTAACAGTTAATACTTCGAAGTAGAAATAAAAATTACGTATTCATTACTACAGTACAGTAAATAAAATCAAATTCTGTAAGTAACTGATGTGAATTGAACATTATTCACATTCCTTAATACTAAAACTACCAAGCAATGAAATTGACTTTTCGAAATTCCTCTATAGAAACTTCAAGAATACATCTATTGTGACTTCAATTGATTTACATACAATTCAATTTGCGTACTGCCACATCAAATTCTTGAATAATTTCTCAGAGAAATATCTGTATCTTTTTAGTAATTGCGAAATGAAGAAATCAGAAATGAGTCATTCCGACTCGTCCGGTAGTTTTAGTGTTAAATTCATTGTGAAGTATTCGCCACGAGTCTGACTCTACATTACAAGCGAAGGAGTGAACGCAGACGGTTCCCTTTTCTCTTCTTACTTCAATCAACTTTTGTTATGGTACAACTAGCAAAGATAAATTCGAAACTCAGGATTCAATTCGACTTCCGTTTATTAAATCGTCAAGAAGTTTAATTGAATTTCTTATTTTTCTCCGATAATTGTCGAGCGTCCTGAGTTTTCGTTGTTTCGTTCGGAACAGAACGGAGGACGAAAAGTATGAAACTCAGGATATTTATTAGGACGACTGCATCGGCCGGGAAGATTCGATGAAAGAACGTGTCGGGTCGAATTACAGGCCCAAGTTTCTGCAGAGCACATTGTTCCCGACGCAAACATGTGACGCCTCACGTTCCCCGAGTAACTCATTCCCTGCACAGCATCGTATCGACGAAGCACTGAGAATTTACTGGAACGAAACAGTTTGGTTTTGTACAACATATTCCGTGCGACAGGCTGCAAACGCGTGCAATGTTAGCGCTTGAAATATCTTCGTGCAGCACGGCCGTCATGCGAAACACCTTATGACGCCGCCATCAGCTCAAAATTGTAGACTTTTTTTCGCTTAACCCTTAAGTGGGCAACCGAGACACATTTGCATTCTTCAAATTTTCATATTACACCAGTTCCTCCATCAATACTACAGGTAATCCTCGATTTATGCGAAAATTCGTTCCACGTGGATTCGTTTCACGCGAAAGAAAACGTGAATGGAGTCGGTCGATTTTAAGAGAAAAGAAAATATTGGAAAGACAAGCTGGTATAAGTTTTAGAAGTACATACTTATTTATTCCACATAGTCAAACAAAGGAGGTGATAATAATGACATTTCAGAAAAGAAAACTACAATTTATTTTGTACTTTTACTTCAGATTGCGCATAAAAATTACCACGTAAATAGTGTTCTATTCAGGTGCTCATCACGTGTACGCTATTTGGAAATCTTAAGACACTTGTATTTTAACCCTTTGCACTCGACAAACGTTCTTTATATAAATATGCACAGCTTTCTAATGAAATATATATATATATCATTGATGTATTTCAAAAATAATATAAAGAAAAATCATATGTGAATTAAAGAACAGGATTCTTTTATTCCAACGTTTCGCGTGTTAATGCATTATGTAATACTTGATATCGAATATCCAATTTTATAAGTTCGTTGCATTGAAACAAAAAAACAACACGTATTTAACACTAGAACTACCGAGCGGTCAAACTGACTTTTTTCAATTGTTCTACAGAAACTTTTAAGAACACAGCTAATGAAATTTCAATTTACTTATGATTCAGTTTGGGTATTATTAATATAATTTCTTTAGTAATTTCTTAGAGAAGCATTGTTATTTTCTTAATGACTGGGAAGAAAGAATTAAGGTATAGAACAACTTGACCTATTTGGTATTTGTAGTGTTAAACTTGTCTAAATATTTAAGATTATTTAAAATACACCCGTCCCTTCATTTACGCCGCCCTGTTTTACACGATAAATTATAATATTATCTGCGGTATTGTTTATACGCGATATCAATTTACGCAATCAGAATTTAGTTACACCGAAGAAAATTTACTTTTTTTAGAAATGTCATTACTATTATCTTCTTTATCAAGCTATATGAAATAAATATGTATTTTTAAAACTTATACTAGCTTTTCTTTCCGATATTCTGTTTTCTTTTGTGCTAACAAACTCTATGCAATTTTTATTCGTGTAAAACGAGTGCTTACTGAGTAACATTTTAACCTATGGACTGTAGAAACTGTGTGTTTTAATAAATCCAACTAAACAGATTCACGTAACTCAATGAAAGCCTAGCAAAAACATATGAAAATTTTTAATGAAAATACATTTACATATTTTTCTACAAAAAATGTTGAAGAACCTATATATTTCATCGACAGAAATGAGATTCGTCCCGTAATCTTCCGACGACGGTAACTGAATCAATTTGGACCCAGGTTTTCGAAAACTCTGTTTAATTTCTCACTTTTCTACGCCTAACTCAAATTGGAAGTCAATAATATGAAATTCAATAAGGAGATCAAAGTGTTAGATAGAAATGCGTTTGAAGAATTATCAATAAAAATTTATAAGGAAAAATTCGAATAGTTCCCAGCATCGCTATTTTATCCAGGATCGTGAAAGTTTTTATCGTGAAAAACGATCTTTTAATATGACATGAAAAGCTTTTAATTTCTGCACGTACAAAGAATTTTTTGTGTACGGCTGATTGCACGAAAATAGGCCAGTACGAAGAAAATGGAATATAGCTCCGCCGGCGTGCTTCGAGTTTAATATCTGCTCATGAATATCAATCAATTTAATAAATTCGGCCAGTTTCATTGAGTTCGATTAATGTCCATGAAAAGTAATCGTTCGTTTCATGTACTCGCGAATTAATTGGTATCGCATTAATCATTTCCGGCTGAAAGTCCCAGTTTTTTACTTCCGAATCGTATAAATATAATTTCAATTCAATCGCTTTAATATTTCATTTTATTGATTTATTTACAACATTGCAGAATTATTGAGGCTGGACTGGCATACGATATA